TGTCACATCTCAGGATTCTTAAAGGAATACTATAGCATTAGGAATACATAACTTTATTTCTAATGCTATAGAGTCCCCTCTGCCCTAAAATTATTGTGTCCCAAGCCCGCCTTGAAAGGGTTATTACATTTTTGAAGACTTGCCTCTTTCCTTGCCTCTTCAGCACTGAGAAAGGCCAGGAAGCGCCCCTAGTGGCTGTCTGGGAGACAATCACTAGGGGCTGTGTTAACCACAGAATGTAAACATTGCAGTTTCTCTTTGTGAATGTGAATCCTTCCCAGTTTATTTCTGCAGGCTATACACTCATTGTTTTGCATCTTTCTAAGCAGATGAAAAACTGTTGACAAATGGCATACATTTAATGCGATTCTGGATTGTTGCCGTTAAAATTATTTAATTAAATATTTATTTATTGTTAAATATGTACTTTTATCATTTCTTTTGCAAGTCACCGCCATGTTTTCATATATTTGCTCAGTGTATGTCTACAGCTTTATAAAATTGATGTGCACAGTCATAATTGTTTTGTTCTATCAATAAATTAGACAAAATGTACAGGGTACTTATCATTAGACCCAAGCCATTGTGTTCAGGACAAAATAGAATGTAGACAGTTTAATAAACCAGTAATAAACTAGTATTGTTCACTTTTTGAATAAACTTCACGGCACTCTGGTCCTGCCATTAGTTTTGCTCTGCACTCACCTTACTGCAGCATTGGAATTCTCCCAACTGCAAGACAGTATTTTTACAAGGTTATTCTATAAAGTGAGAATTCAAAGAATTTTAAATTTAACGTCAAAGTAGCTAAACTGAAAGCATAGTTAACGTAGAGGATTTTTACAATTCAGCTATTTTAACCTTAAATTGCAAATTCACCTTAAATTTACTATGAATTCTAACTTTAGTGAATAATCCTGTTAGTGTGTTTTATGGGAACATGTGTGTATATATATATATATATGTGAGATATATCCAAGAAACTTGATGGATCTGAGTGACAACCACACATGAGGTTCATTTTTCATTACCCTCTTGGGAGCATGTTTATGTATTTTGTTAGTTCGCAAGTTCTTTTGTTAGAGATATACCTTTTAATGTGGGAGACTATATTTAATTGGGGAATATAACCCAGCTGCTGATGCCGGACCAACCATGCTTTTTTAGATATTTATCACTTTGTTATGCTGATAGGCGGTACTTGAAAAGATCTTGCCACGGGCATTCTTGTGATGCAGATAGGAACTTGATTAATCATGGCAGTCAGTGCCGTTAGATTTCTTGCTTGTTTAATATATTTAGTTTATTATACATTCTTCAGGTACTTGTATGTACAGCCCAATCAACATGAAAATGTAATAACTGTCTGGGAAAGCATGGTGGATCTAGTTGTGGAAAGTTGAAAGCACTTCATAAAACTTCAGTATGTCCCATGGCTAGAGTTGCCATTGCTGGACATCCATATTGTCATGTTGATGGGCAGTACATGAAAAATTCTTTAATGCAGTATGTATAATTTATTAAGTACCCCAGGATTGCTAATTGATGTCACTTGATTTTCTACATGCAGCATTTGCATTTGACATGCTTTCATTTTTATTAAAGGGCCACTGCAGACGCCTAAAGCACTTCAGCTTGCTGTGAGGAGTGTCCTATTTTTTTTTTTTTTTTTACAAAAAGTAAATAAATGCAGATTTCAATAGAAATTGACACTATTTTTAAATTAATCTTGTTACCCCCTCCCCCCAGCTGTGAATCATATAACTGGTTCTCTTACTTCCTGGTTTGGTTATCTCAGTGGATTTAAACTCAAGAGGCAGGAATTGCCTAAAGCACCTGCCTTGCAAAGACTTCTTATTAAGTTGCAGTGGGAAGTCTGAGATTGGACAGCCACAGAAAGTCTGGCTGGGGTAGAAGGGGGGAAGAGGGGGCTTGCAGAGGCTGCACAGAGAAGAGATCTGCAGCTTTTGCATGCTGGTTTTAGATAATGAAAAATTTTTTAAAAAAAAATGCTTAATTAAATTCATGGATTTTTTTTTCTATTGGGAGATATATACCAAACAGTGATGTTTTCATTATTTGGGGAGTGGAGGGTCCCTCTAATATTATTAGCCATAATTTTCCACTACCTTCCACTGCCATAAATTACATATAAATATTTTTTTGCATCGTGCATACAACATGAAACTGTAGCCACACTAGATTACATGATAAACGATAATGGTGTATTTAAATATGTACAGAGAGCTCATTGTAAACTGCTTAGCACTGTTTTATGGCTCATTTGAAACCCATTTAACATATCTCGGTGTGTTATAAAAACAGTAAAAATGTCACAGAATGTTTGGTGTTTACGTGGCTCCAGCAGCTCTTAGGCCTGCTATTGACAAGTACTTTCATAACAATACAAGTCTATCCCTCCAGCCCTTTGTAGTAAATCCTAAAATGATTTTTAGCCAGCGGGGACTAAGAATGTAATGTGGAGCAAGACACACCAATTATCTTTATTATTTACTCTTGCTGCTCACCTTTAATTTTCAGATAATATTCTAAAACCCTATGTACTATCCCAATTGTTTCTGAAAACGGTTTTTTTTTTTAGACAATACTGAAAACAGTAATATAAATAGGATTGTCTGAAAAGCAATGGCATTAACCTGTAAGATAATAATAATATTCTTTTTATAAACAGGGAAGGAGTTTTATCAGTTTTCTCACATGCCTTGAAGTTGTAGATTTTATTTTCCCAAAATATCTAGTACTCTCTGTGTTGGCATAGAGCATGTTCAATTCCAGTTTATAATTCCAGTTTAACCCCTTAGTGACCAGATCGTTTTTCAATTTTCTTACCGTTAAGGACCAGGGCTCTTTTAAAATTTCTGCTGTGTTTGTGTTTAGCTGTAATTTTCTTCTTACTCATTTACTGTACTCACATATATTATATACCGTTTATCTCACCATTAAATGGTCTGTCTAAAGATACCATTACTTTGATCATATCATATAAAAAAATAAAATAAAAAAAAATAAAAAAACACACACTTTTTCTAACTTTGACCCCCAAAATCTATTACGCAACCGCCAAAAAACACCCATGCTAAATAGTTTCTAAATTTTGTCCTGAGTTTAGAAATACCCAATGTTAACATATTCCTAGCTTTTTTTGGAACGTTATAGGGCAAGAAGTACAAGTAGCACAAACCATTTTTTTCAAAATTAACGCGTTACATTGTAACACTGAAATCTGTCAGGAATTACCCTTCACATGTATATATTTTTTTAAAAGAAGACAACCTAAGGTATTAAACTTGGGGTATTTTGACTCTTTTCATGCAACCATTTTACCACCAATCTATGCCAAATTAAAATAAATAAATAAATGGTGATTTTTTTTACACTTTTTTTGATACACATAGCAATTTAAAAATACACGTATGGAGAACTTCAAGGGTTACTGCCAAAGAACACCCCAATATGTGTTCAGCAACATCTCCTGAGTACAGTGATACCCCCCATGTATAGGTGTATCGGTTTCTCTGAAGGCTAAAAGACCTTATTTGGAGGGTGCCCATTCCAGTTTTCCAACGTGGAATTTTCACAGCTGGTCATCATGCACCCATGTCCTATTTGGGACATTTATGAAGCCGGCCAATGTAATTTACCCCCATAAAACCATATATTTTTGAAAAGTAGAAACCCTAGGGTATTTCAAATGGTGGTATTTTAACACTTTCCATGCATTAATTCTACCACTAGTCTTTGTCAAACATTTTGGTAGTCACTTTTTTTTGTTATTTTTTTTTTTCTCTCACATTGTACTTTAGGCATGGATTCTTAGTTCCTGTTATGTGTTACTGACAAAGAACACCCCAATATGTGTTCAGCAACATCTCCCGGGTACAACAGTGCCTGCAATGTACAGGTTTTATGGGTGTTTGTAAACTTACAGGGGTCAAATGTAGGGCTTTCCCCTTTTCCATGTTTGCACATTGAAATTTGCCAGATTAGTTTGCTGGGCCTATGTTGCCTTTGAGACCGTATAGCAGCCCAGGAATGAAAATTAACCCCATCATAGCATACCCTTTTCAAATGTAGACAACCCAGTGTATTTAAAATGGGGTATGTCCAGTCTTTTGGCCAAAGTTAGCGTTTTTGTTTTTTGCATTTTTTTACACAAAAACTGCACTTTTACTGGTGATTTCATTATCATGATAGGTTTTACTGTTTCAAACACTTACATTTGTGTTCAGCGAAGTCTTCCGAGTATAACAATACCCCCCATGTACAGGTTGTATGGTGTTTTGGAAAGTTATAGGGCTTGTCCAATTCAGTTTGCCAGATTGGTTTGCTTGGTCTGTGTTGCCTTTTGAGACCATATGGTAGCCCAGGAATGTGAAATAACCCCATCATGGCAGACCATTTTCAAATGTAGACAAACCAGGGTATTTAAAATGGGGTATGTCCAGTCTTTTGTAGTAGGCACTAGGCCAAAGTTAGTGTTTTTATTTGTTTTTTGCATTTTTTTTTTACACAAAAGCTGCACTTTTACTGGTGATTTCATCGTTGTGATAAGTTTTACTTTTTCAAACACTTGTATTTGCCGGCCAAAGTTTACGTTTTTATTTGTTTTTTTATAAATGTTTTCTTTTCCAATTTATAATATATATATATATATATATATACACACACACATATACATATAATACGTCTGTGTGTATATATATATTGTAACAAACCACCTCTTTTACAGGTAGGATTTTGTCACAGATCTTGCAGTAACCACAGCCTCCTAGGGTATACAAAGTCCAGGACACATTCAGCTCAGTTTTCCTTTTTATTTGATAAAAAAAAAACAGGTGCTTTAAATAATAATAAACAAACTAAATTCCTTGCTCTTACTTGAGCTCTTACTAGACAGAAATCACTATCTGTAATTGGGTGGCTTTCCCACTTACCAATTTTCCCAAAAAAACAAAAATAGCTTTGCAATAAACACAAGTGTTGTCTACTCTCCTAGCTGGCTTTTTCTCCCTCACCCTGCAGCAGGCTGCTCTCATCTTTTAAAGGCCTGTCTACTAATTGACTAGCTACAGGTGAGTGCCAATTAGTTAACTCTTAAGTCAGATCCAAATTCTGGTCTGTTACAGAATTTCCAAATACTCCGCCCCAGGGACCGTGTTTTGCAGAGCATCAGCAATGTATATTGTAAACATCTCTCCCTGGGGCATTTAACTGAAAATTCTCTGGTTGCTGTTTAGAAAATCAGGCCTGATGTATCTTCCATCAACCACTATTCCACTTTTACGCTCACAATATATATATATATATATATATATATACACACACACACACACACTTTTATTTCCTATACATGTATAATATATTATAATTAGTGTGTGTGTGTGTGTGTGTGTGTGTGTGTGTGTGTATATATATATATATCAAAGTATACTTATAATGAAATCCTATATAAATATATGCATTATATATGTATAGTATATTATAAAATGCTTTAATTATTTTATAATATATTATACATATATAATACAGACACTCCTCACTTACCGAACCGGGTTCCATTCCTACGACCCAGTTGTAGAACGAATCGGTTGGTAAGTGAGGAGTTAAGGAATTCCCTGCTCTTGTGCGTTTGTCTATGTTCGGGGAAAGTTCCCCGAAACATAGCTGAACGCACCACAGCAGGGAATCCCTCTAATCTATGTTTGGGGATATTTCCCCGAACATAGATTTGAGGGATTCCCTGCTCCGGTGCGTTCGTCGATGTTCGGGGAAGTTTTCCTGATCCATGGCCCACCTCACAACTTGCAAGACTTACTTCAAGGATCTGCTGCTGGAGTCCATGCCTCGACGCATCAGAGCTGTTTTAGCAGCACGATGGGAACTTGCATGATATTAGGCAGGTGGTTTTGATGTTGAGGCTGATCAGTGTATCTACTGAATTGCGATTTTAATTTTATTCATTTATTTTAATTTTCCTGTGAAGTGTTTCTTTAATCTGTGCTCTGAGTGCACAACCCAACTGTGCCGCTTTTCAAGTTATCAAACTTGGCAAAAACACTCTGCTTCAACCTGTCTGTGTTGTTGAGATAAACATCAGCACATAATACATATTACAATAGCTGTTAAGGCAGAATGGTAAATCTTCTAAATGAAAGGAAATCAATTTTCTTTTGAGTCTACGTCAAAGTGTGTACCTAACACTAAAGTGTTCCTCTGTCTCTTCTTGCTGAAAAGGTTACATAACTTTCTTTCACTCACCTGAGTCCAGTACCAAGGTCCCTCTGCACTGGCTCTGCAGCGTTGAGTGGAAACATAATGATCATGCATGGCTAGTGACGTGCGTGCATTACTCCCTAACAATAGGAAAGCATTGAATCAATGCTTTCCTATTGGAATTTTGAGGATGCTGGACATCCTCATGCAAAGTGTGAGCACGTCCAGTGTTGTTTCACAGAGTTAAATTTGGTCATCTTAACTCTGCAATATAAACTTTGCAGTTTCTCTGAAATTGCAATGTTTTACATTGAATGGCTAAGGGGGACAGGGACACTGCAATCAGACCACTTCAATGAGGTGAAGTGATCTGGGTGCCTATAGTGTCCCTTTAAATGATTATAGCAAGCAATTGTTTATCTGTGTCAAATCACAAAAAAGACTGAATCTTGTGACTCCATGAGAAATGTCATATAGTGGCCTAAATATCTTTTTTATCTTTAGATTGGCTGTAACAGCTTCCAAGAAGCCAAAATTTAATGTATTAACATAAGGATTTTAATGTATAGCAGCAATTGAGATTTCTGGCGCTTGTTCCTTATGTGTACAGCAGCTACAACTTTCCCAAGCCAGAGTCTCTTCTTTCTGGTCGTTGATGCAAGTAGGGAAGCAATTAAAATCGCTTAACAATTAAAATCCTTGTGTGGAGTCCAATGGAGCCAATATAAGGGAGAAAACAAAATGGGACAGGAATACTAATATAGTGTAGTATATCTAAAACAGCAGAGGCAGAATATAAGGAAAAAACATATTGCACTCACACTTTTCTGGAGCTCAATATCAGCTCCAGATCACAGCGTATGGACGGTACAATCCCAGTCTGTGGATGTTAGGATGGTCCTGATTTCCTCTGGTATCGTATTCCTGTGCCAATAATCCACGTGGTGTATTACAGATGATGCTCCTGTGAGATATATATATATATATGATATAAAAGAACAGGAAGGCTTTTCCAAAGTGTTACAGAGTAGGGGACCTTCACTCTTAAATAGCTAAGAAATAAAAAAAATAAAAAGGGCCAGATGATGTCACTGATCATGTGACCTGAACATTAATTAACTTTAAAACATAAAATAAAACCAAATAAGCAATTAAAGGTAAAACAGAGTTTAAAAAAACATAGTATGTGTAAATGTATTAGGAATAATACATAATCACAAGAAGAAGAGTAAATACAGAGGAGTTCCCTTTCAGAGGGGTTCCAAGATGGCCGCCGGGTGTACCAAGTGGCCACCGCTGGCTGGGATAAAAAAGAATTACAAATAATGTACTTAAACCTGAGTCTAGATAGAATAGGGAAGGAGGAGGACTCAGCAAAAACAAAAACCAAGGTTTTTTTTTTTTTTTAAAGTGTACATAAGTGCCTAAAATCTGGCAATCCTAATCCCTTTTTTTTTTTCTCTCTCTCTTTTAAACAAATCAAAATCAACATTAAACATTAACGTCGGTATAGAACAAGATGTGAATACGATTTAGAGTTTGACCAAATATATGAATTTTCCTAGTCCGCCATAAAGAGGTTGGCGTAACTGGGCGCTGCTCTCGTGCCCATAGTGGGGCCCTTTTGCTGTAGATAAAAGCAGTCATAAAACCAAAAAATATTATTATTTAAAATAATGTCCAGGCCCTCTAGAATAAAATCAATAAGAATATGGGAGATGTTATTGTCTTTTTCAAGAATTGTCTTTATAGCATCACATCCTTGACTATGTGAAATAATAGTATAGAGGGACTGGACTTCACTAGTGACTAAAATGCAATTTTTTTGAGAATTGTACCATCCATACGCTGTGATGTGGAGCTGATCTTGAGCTCCAGAAAAGTGTGAGTGCAATATATGTTTTCCTTATATTCTGCCTCTGCTGTTTTAGACATACTACACTATATTAGTATTCCTGTCCCATTTTGTTTTCTCCCTTATATTGGCTCTATTGGATTCCACACAAGGATTTTAATTGTAAAGCGCTGCTTCCCTAAATCCCCCGTTTTATAAGGATTTTAATAGTAACCTTACAATATCAGTATTTACTTTTCTGGTTAGATAGGGTAGGGATAGGACTGTCAGATCCGCCATGGTTTCCTGGTCACGTATCATTTCACCATGCTGATGCATGGAAATAGTGTTCTGCGATGCTAGGAAAAGTATAAAGACATCCATTTAATGCTGTAAAACCTGATAATTTACTCCTACACCCAACCACACGTAATCATAATAAATCTAAACTTAGGGTCAAACCGGAGCATTCCAGGTATGTGTAATTAAGCAACACTTACCTGTAATAAAATGTGCTGCAACGAAGTCCTAAATTAACTGGTGGATGTTAGAGAAAGCTTTACATTTAAAGTGGTAGTGCCTGAGAATGCAATGAAAAATATGTTTGAAAAGTCAAAATACAAATTTGCTAAGAGGTGCCCAGGAACAAGAAAAAATACAGTGATATCCTGAAGCTATTTCTACTTGCTAACAGTCACATCTACCTCTCTGCAAGCAGAGCCATGACTTGCTGGGAGAGGCATCAGATATTTGTGCTAAGAGGTCAAGTGTATGCTGTATGCAATAACTCAACTGAGAGAGATTGTGGCTGATAGAAATTAGTTTTTTTTTTTTTTTTTCTTTAGACTTTAAAGGAAAGCTTTGTACTTTAATAGGTGTGGTAGCAATTTAACCCTGTGGCAATTTAACATTTCAAAGTAGCAAAATAAGCTTCAGTCTGGGGGAGGGAAGGCATATCTCTCTACCCAGTGTCTGTGCGGTTAGAGTTTTCCTGCGAATGGCGACATTCTTTCTTCTCAAACCTTTTATTAATGAGAAATCTTGCAGTTTAATAGCCTCCTGTTTTTTCCTTTAAATTTTGTCTGTAAGAGTTTCAGACAACAGGTGTGCATATCCCTGAAACATATGTTTGCCAAAGAAATTATTCTATTGTAAACAGGGAAAATAGAGTTTTAAAATGTCAGCGTTTTTGCTAATTTTTTGTTTTTTTTCTGTAAACAGTAAGGGTTTAAATTCAGTTCCATCATCTAACACTAGGGTTTGAACTATTCCCCCCCACCCCCCCAAGTTATAACACTGTGTAAAATGTGTTTCTTTAGAACGCAACAGCCCAGCATAACACATTTTCTGCAGCCTATTTTATCATTCTTGATTTACTTGAATCAGTTGAAATTGTGTCATTACAGGAGAAAATACTTGCTTTTATGGCAGGTCATGAACTTACACAAGGATATCTTCCCACATCAGTCTAAAAGATGTGTACACACAAAAAAAGCAAAGCTGCAGGAGTATATATGTGTGTACATCATAGAGATCAAATAATACCATTGATTTGCCAAACTGATTAGTGCTTTGAGAGATGTGCAATTCAGATTAAATATTTTTTTTCATTTAAGGGGGTGTGAATGATGGTGTGGGCAGGGGTGGAGTTATTCTATGATATTTTTGGCGATTTTGAACTGATTCAGTAAAATCATGAGTGATAATATAACATTACTCTAAGCCCCACATTTACCCTACCCTACCCTGAACTGACATCGTAAGGTAAATTGCAGTCTACCATATAATTTATCTATCAAAGGCAGAATTGTACCCACACTTCAATAATGCCAGTCGTATTATAACAATTATTGTTTCAGTTTCCAATGTATACATTTTTCTAATTTGTTAGCACTACCATGGAACAATAGAATTGCAGTGTTGCACCTGTTACTAGTGTATCTAGTAGGGTTTACAACATATTCTGCAGAGTTGACTTACAGATTGGTAAAGTAGTTTGTTGGGATTTAGGATAACCATTTTTGTCAAACTAGAACAGGGGTCAGCAAACTATTGCACCTGTGCCATACATGGCACTCGAGGTTCTCTTTCACTTTCACTGCATTAAGGGCTGCCAGAGCCAAAAGGGCTCTCATGAGTCCCA